AAGGGGCGTAAATGTTAAACCATCTAACAGCAGTAACATGATGTTGTACACCAGAATTTAAACTTGATAAAGTGCATTTAGTCCATCACTAAAAAATACTGTTACTACATCTTATCTTAGGCTTTTAATTTAATTAAGATGTTTATTGAGATGTAAGACAAATCAACTCACTATTATGCAGTGCACTTATGTTAAATACCCAGCACTTAAAGTCCTACAGAACCTGACACATTGCTTGTTTGTTTGCTACTCTAGGGAGCTATTTAAAAAATCTTATAATGCTAAAATCACATTATGCTGGAGTCAAATTACCCATTCAAATGAAGGCTTGGTTAGGTAAACACACTCAAAACGAGTCAGCTATATGGAGGTATGGGGTTTACAGTTAACTATAGCTGGGTAGTGCTGGCAATTTTTTTTTCTCTCAGCCAAATCACTACTTTTTCATCACTATTTTCTCCTATTGGTTTAAATTTGACAAAAACAAGTCAAATCAGGCCTATTTTCTTTAGCCTATTTAAGTCAATTTTATCATGTGGATAAATTGGCAAGTGCTAGTGCCACCCCAGTATGGCTATGCCAGTGTCAGGCTGGGTATCAGTGGCCCAAACTTACAATGAAACAATTGGTCTATGGAGATTGATCCAACTCCATGGGGACTCTTGCTGAATGCAATCAGATAAACACGCCTCCTCTTGGCACTGAGTAGAATACAAAAAAGCTGGTGATTATACGAGCACATTGAAGAACTAGAAGTGGTGTGTTACTAGTAATCTATTCATCTGACTGCATTCAGCAGGAGTCCCCATGGAGTTGGATGAAACAACCTATAACCATAGTTACATTGGGAATGAGCCCTTAGAAATAATTCACTCTTTAAGGTGGGGGGAGGGCAGTTTAAGTAGTATGTCATTTCTCAGCAACTTCTTTTCACTGATGCTCATATGGTACATACGTATATTCTCACCACCCAAGGTTACTTAGCACGTCCTTACGCTTCCATGATTTACAATATGATTGTGAAATTGATATTAAACCTTGCTGTGTTTCTAAAAGCTTGACTGTTATATAAATAAATAAATTAATAAATAAATAAATAAATAAATAACAAATAAATAAATAAATAAATAAAACAAAATACAACTCACTCAACTAAGATACATCTGATATCTCATATGTGTTACAGGAGACCTGTTCACCAACTAGTTAACTCATGCAGCCTACTGGTTTAAATATTTCCTGTGCCTGGATCAGCATCTACCTACATTTGCTGGGGAACCTAGTCCTAAATCTCTCTAGACTGGAAAATGACTCAAACATGTCAGCTGCAAAATATGATGAAATTCACTAGGCAGTGGATTCTTGGAACACATGAAACCAAAGGAGTGTTAACATATGGAGTTAAATGTCAAAGCATATAGCCACAGCAGCTGCAAATGTATAATCAGTTTGATCCAGGATCTTTTGTTTTCTAACATCTGCCATATAAACTTTATATCAGTACAGAATATTTTAGTTGGGACAAAATTTGTCCAACCCTAGTAGGAAGATAACTGATGAAAAACACCTTTATCTCCACCCCTGCCCCTGGAATTCTGTCCACTGCATGAGAGAGAGAGAGAGAGAGAGAGAGAGAGAGAGAGTTGTAAGCCACCATCTTAATCCTATAGCTAGGGTAAAATGCTGTGATAAAAATTACCCTAGTAAGGTGCTACAAAAGTATGGGAAATTCCACTGCAACTAAGCAACTTTCATCCACAGATTCATTCCATTCACCTACCTGAGTTCGGCAGGCAGAAGGGATTCCCCTTCATTGAAACGCCTGAAAACTGACCCCTCAGCACTGCTACGATTCCGCCTCAGATTCAGATCTTTTCTCTTCTCCTTTACACCAACACTATCTGTGGGCATCTTAGTGCTTTCTGAAATGACAAGTTCTCTTATAGCATGACATATGTAAATAAACAGATTTATCTTTTTTTTTAAATCCAGTTATCATAACAACATTATAATAGTCTGGGTTTACAGTACTGCATCATTATCTTGGAATTTTTTGCTGAGTATCACTCAACTTCTACTAAAATATCATTCATGTCTGTGCTCATTGCTGCCACTTGTCAGTGTACATGTGCAGTGAAACATGAGAATTTCTCTACTGACCCTCAATGAAATGACTTTTGTTCCTTGTACGTAACATTGCTTGACAGAGAAGAATTTCATCAGCTGTGTAAAGTTATAAGAATGATGTGATTTTTTCTTCAGTCAACAGCTAATATTGAGATCGGTTTTACCTCCATGTGATAGACATCGAAATATTGGAGGTAAAACCTATCTCAATATTAGCTGTTGACTGAAGAAAAAAATCACATCATTCTTATAACATTGTTTAAACAATGCACTTTCAGTTTTTTTTTTTTTTTTTTTGGGGGGGGGGGGAGACTTCTGATTGCCACATAAGTGAAACATTCTATCAATACTGTCATTTAATTTTACTGCATAAAGTTCTTAATCTTCAGACATAATTGAGTAATTAGGTGCTTTTTGAAGAAGTGTTTAAAAAATCATTCTAACTTTAACCTGCAGATATATGCTGATAACACACTGACAGGCAAGTCCACAGCAACCCTAGCTTAGGCTCTATTCCCATAGATTTTAGATCGATCTATCCCCGCGGGGAGTCTCACTAGATTACTTTCAGATAATCCAACTTAAATGTCCGTCCCGCCTACTACAAGCTGTAAGGGGGTAATTAACTTTTGTGTCTGCCCGTCTGACAGCTATTTAGCGTGAACCCCCAGGGAGTTAGGTCGATCTAAAGTAGGTCGATCTAATCTATAGAAATGGGGTGTTAGTTCATGGTGATTGTGCATTCATATATAATGTGTGTTCAAAGTATATTAACTAATTATTAATAATCTATTAATTCTTATCAATTCTTTTAATAATCTACAGGAGCAATTCATGAATATCAGATCCACTGATGTCAGTAAGATGAGCAACTTATAACACATCGATTACAGTTCAAGTTGGGCAGGGGGTCACAAAATAATTTTATGTATTATTATCTAAAGTACATGTATATAATTATGTATCATATAGTATAAAGGCGTTCGTTTATAAGATAAAGCACTCATTTTAGGGGCTGTGAGAGATCTCCAGGGGATCGAACACCCACCGAATCTATCTCTGACCACACATTAGTCTTCATAGGGTGCCAGATTTAAGGTCATACTATCATTAATATAGTACCCTCAGCAGTTCATCACATCATCATTCATAACACACCACAACATTCATGTCAAAATACATCTCCGCCTCTCAGCGCCTTTTCTTAAAAACCCAAACTTCCGTGTACCGACTCCATACTCCCTACGAGTGGTAAACAAACACAAACCTTCGACTACCACTATGTCAGATTTCTCAGTCGTCAGCAAAATTCCCAAAATTCAATCCGTGCTGCCGTTTACTGCTCCTCCATGTTTATCAAGCACCTGCTTTCTATTAAGTGTCAATCATATTTTTCAGCCAATCACAACACGTCTTCTCAGCAGCCAGCCAATCAGCTGCGGTCTCGAGGTTGTGCTATGTCCCTGGACAAGATGCTGTCTGCTAGAGGGTTACAGCTCTCAACTCACCGAGTCCATCGTTTAATACAGCCTGTGCAAATATGAGATCGTAGAAAGGCCAGTCCATACACCGAGCTACCTGATACAGCACATTTGCGAGTGTTCTAAAGGGAATTTTTGGATTTTAGAGCAATTTCGTCGACCGGACCCGAGTGATTCCACATCTGCCATGACAGGTTTCTTTTCCAAGATGGATAAAAGGAACAATGTCTCATTCAATAAGCGCGCTCAATTTCCAGGGTCACGCTTCTCAGTAGATATTCGATATAATCTTTCCAAGGAGCGATGGAAAAGGTAGAAATGACTTTATTCTGTGTGTAATTCAGTGCCACATGTCGACACGGACGCTGGGAAAGTTGTTGTTGACTGACAAATGGGTCGAAGTCGTGCTCCTGACGGTCGTCTTGGTGCAAAATTTCCTCTCACCTCACGACTTCAGAATTTGCTTCTACCTAGCATAGAACGGATGATCAAGTTGAACATGAGAGATAGAGACCTTCGTTTGTTAAGGAATATCAGTCAAATGACAAACCGGCCGGCGTATTTCAAAGTAATCTGGTGAAAGGGACTTTTCCTTGAAAGTGCAGGCATGATTTATGAAATTGGGTCAAACAAGCGTGACGTCATCCTCATCAATATGCATGAGTTTACATCCGAAATAGGGCAGCCATTTTGAAGGAAGACATTTGCAATCTGTAATTTCAACGAATTTTGGACGGTAACTACGCGATGTATATATTTTAAGGTATGTAAATATTCGGCGAATTATATAGGAGATTACCCGAACTTTCAAATTCGTTTCTAAAAAGGATATTTTATGAGAAATTGGTAGGTCTTATGACCGACAATTTTCCTTTTAGAAATATTGTGAATATTATTGCCGTCTGTACATATTGCATTTTATTTTGTAGCCATAACGTTATAATTCTGTCAGATTAAAAAAGAACTACAGTCTTATCCAAAGGATGGGCCTTATGTTAATTTTAAGGCAATACGTGAACTTGAATCAAAATCAAATTAGGGACGATCTTTGTTTTGTGTTGAACCGTAGGTCATTGGATAAGTATCAGAATTACCTTACATGACCTATTACATTTTAACCAGTAAGTTAAACACATTAAAACAAATTCTTTTGAGATAATTAAGTTATCCCTAACCTAGCTAAGTATGAAAACTATATATCTAGGAAAGAATGGTTGATATATGTAATGGTCGGGTAGTACTAATTGCCCTCGTAATTTCACATTCCACAGTGGAAAAATCAATACATAGTTTGTGTAAGTAAGTTGAAAAATATTCAAACCCTTGGTTGAAGATGCAGAGACCTCTCTTTTAAGAAAGCACCTTTTCCGAATCTTACCTAAAAGAATTAAAAACCTTCATTAACTGTCAGAGTGAAGAGTGAAGGGATTATAGGTTTTATAGGTATATTATTATTGCTTTTAAATAACCCTCAGAAGGAAGTTATTTACCACTACATGTCACAAGTTGTACCTATTAAAGACAATGGTAGTGAAAAATATCAGAAATTGCCTTTAGCTTTAGGATCAAATGTTGCCATTTAGACAAATAAAGGTACTAGTACATCGATGTTACATTTCACAATTTCACATTGCTGTTGCATATTTTCCAACACATCACTATTTGCTCACATTGATAGCAAGATAGGGCAAAAATGACAGTTTACATATGTTTTTCAGATCAAGATTAAAAAAAACCCCTCTGATATATGCATTTTAGAGCCTGAATGTAGGATTCAGATGAATGAATAGCTTACATATTTCTATTATTTTTAGTGCAAGCTTTCAGGTAATCATTTTTGAAAAATCCTACCAAAAGCTGTACCCAAGCCTGTAAAATTTATTTTAGTGTGGGCACCGTTTGTGAGGAATCTTATCATGGCAGCAAGTGTGACTGTACATAATCTTCACCTTTTTCAGGAAGTTCATTGGTACAGTGATATTAAGCATAATTAAAGTACGCAAGCACTGCAGTAATGGTTTAAACTACCAAAGATTTAACCAGCATTTGCAGGCTCAACCATTTAGACAATTGAATTAAAGTTTCTGCACTCAGTTATATGTGAGACAAGCAAGGATATAGTTTTCTGTTCTGGTTTAGGAAATAAATATAATTTATTGGATTTAAAGACTATTTGAAAGAAAGAGCAGTCTGAGTGAGCAAGTTTCCAAGAAATACTATGATAAAATATCTAAGGAATTATGTGTCACAAGCTCTTTTATGTCTCTCCGTTCAACTTATTTATCCAGGTTGGAGGTTTTCACACCTGTCTGCCTTATAGTAGGCATTTATTGAGCACTATTTACATAGTTACTCATTCTGTGGACAGTATTATCAGCTATGATTAAACCTCAGAATGATGATCAACATAAAAAAGGTGTGTTTACACTGAGTCCTCTTTACCTTCCATTTAAAAGGTGTTTTGTTTGCATTGAAAACACTGTACATTAAGACATATTTGATAGTGATTACAACCAGAAAGCTAATTGTTTGTACTAGAGATAAAGCATTAATTAAACTGAAATTTGCCCACAAAGGTTGTTTCAGTCATTTAGTTATTTTAGTCTGTAAATTTACGTTTACCCCTTGGGTCTGCTCTAGGTGTTGTTAGATTTCCATGCAAATGTAGCTTATTGTACACATTACCAAATATTACTGCATTCAGAGATAGTCGGGTTTACTTTTCACATTGTGCTGTATTGTATTATCTTATTGTCTAGATATATATAGACCTTGTTTGGTTAAGACATAAAGTTAAGAAGGTATAAGAACTGATTATCTGATGTGGCATGTACACTTTGTGAACTCTTGTCTCAGACTAGCATTTTATGCAAAAATAGCGACACGTATGTATGTATGTGTAACCATCTGGTATTATAAATTGATGTGAAAAAATGAATTTGTTGCTGCTTTAAAAAAAAAATGGCTCAACAGCTTCGAGAAAGTGTGCTCATATATTTAATCTAGCCATCCATGGAGCAGGTTTTTAGTCTTTGCTTGAAAGATATGCGAGTTAAGTTAAACAACAACAACCTGAAAAAAAAAACCAAACAAACAAACAAAAAAAAAAACAGACTCCTGCTATACCCACAAAAATTGGGTTTGAATTCTCTAGGGGAAAACAAGCTAGTTGGTAACTTGGTGATGAATTTGAAATTATTGTCTATGAACAGGGAAAATCGAGTCATAATCAATACTACGAGGGGAAAATAGTCATGTCTTGTCTAACATCATGGCATGAATTATAAATGGATTGATATATAGATGGAGCAATAGAAACCAGCTTCTAGATTTGATTTACTTTTAACTGAATATTTTATGTTGAATTGTCAGAAATAGATACCAGACTTGATAGATAAATTTGCAAATTCGGGGGCGTATGCAACAATATTTAAAGTTCAACAAACAAGTAGGCCATATTTTGCCTTGTTGTTTACATTTAGTTATAGTATGTCTGTTGCATCTTTTAAGGATTTTTGCTTGTATGTGTATCCACAAGTGAGATGTGTTAAAGTAGTACAGAAAGCTGTGTCTATTGGTGTTAATCGTTGTGATACAAAAGCCAGAATCATGAAGCTTTTGATATTTCTTTTCAGAATGATAGCAGGCCCCAGTTGAAGAAGGAGCTGGAATCTTCCACCCCCACGTCACGCCAGCATGCTATCATCGCAGCAGCAGCGCCAGCTGTTTCAGTGAGATGTACGAAGGCAAGAACATCCACTACTCTCCCGTTGACAACAAGCCATTGTGTTCCTTCAGCAGCAAGCTCTGTAAGCAGCATCGCCTGAATCACTATGGCTTCTGTGTGCGGCACATCCTGGAGGATTTGTCTGCCCCCTTCAAACAATGTGCCTATGTGAACAAGTACAACAAACAGAAGTGCACCCAAGCAATACCAGAGAGTGAGGAAAGAGAGTAAGTTGTTTCCGTATGTCAAATTATTATATATATATATATATATATATATATATATATATATATATATATATATATATATTTATTTATTTATTTATTTTATATTGGAAGCAAGGTGGGCTGGACCCCAGCATATCAGCTACTGGTGTGCACTGTATGTACAGACTGGTGATTAAGATCACTAGTGACTTTTGTTAAATAGTAATTGAGTGAGTGAAATGTGTTCTAAAAAAGAAAATTGACCAAATAAAATAAGCCATGTGCCAGAGGTGCTTATGTAGTTCATTTCGTTGGGAGAGGAATATTGTGGACATAATTTTTAAAAGCTGAGGACTGAACATTACCTCAGTATTGGTTTTTGAGTGAGGGCTCATTCCCAATGGAACTAATGTTTAACATAGATAAATTCAACTGTCAGGTAACTATAATTGCCAGCTTTTCCGTATTCTACTCAACAACAGGAAGCCTGTTAATCTGAGCGCATTCAGTGAATTTCCCCGGGGAGTGGGATCTATCTACCTAGAACAATAGTTTCATTGGGAATGTACCCTAAAAGACTTTCTGAGTTGGTAAATGTGGCTTATATGCTGCTTATTGAAGGGAAGTGTGCCATGGTTTCTGTTTACATACAGAGAGAAATGACGCAAAAAGGAAGGTGACAATTTCTGATAATTAGGTAATGATAATTATTTTTTAATGTGAGATGTGGAAAGGGTGAGGTGTGTTTATTAGCACTCTTTAGATCTGTAGTATTAGCTTTTAATCACCTAGTTAGCTATAAAATATTGTATGAAAACTGTTAGGCAAAACTGTGAATTATTCGGAAATGAAGTTTTTATGTTACGTCACATGTTTAAATGCATGTATGTGTGTTCTCTTTTCCAGCTATTGTAACGCACATATGCAAGTGTTAGGAATGATGCCAAGACGAGAAAGGAAAAACCAGCGCCATGTGACGCCCGATAGTCTTCACGATAGCAAGCCAGCCTTGGAGGGACGGTTAAAATCAAAGCCCAAATTCAGTTTGATGTCTACTGAACCAGTGAATAATGATAATTCCATGGATGACCCGGATGATCCATACGCATTTCCCGCTGACGATGACGAACCTCCCCAACCACCAAAACCAAGCTATAGTCCTGGAGCAGCCTCTGTTGGACCACAGCAAGATCTTCCCATGCCAGGCAATGGCGGCGGTCACCTGTCTTTCCGCCCTCCCCAGGAACCTGTATCATCTATTGCAAAGTTGTATCCAGAACTGGCCGAGAAACTAGAAAGGGTGAAAAATAAAAGTGATCATAAAACTAAACTCAGTGGGACAAAAAGCTCCCGGACTATGAACCAGTTACAAACACGAATTGCTCAGAACCGAATCAAAGCCAAAAAAGGGCAGGAGCAGTCGAATCATTCAACGCCTGAAAGTCAGGGCAGATCTCCCAATCCCGCAGTGCCTCGCTCTCCTGCTGGAGGAGGAGGGGGCGGAGAAAAGCCTCAGTTTGCGGTGCGCAATCCTCACCTCTCATTTGCCGCATTACAGGGTCACCTGGGCATGACCCACCCTTTGTCGCAGCAGATGCCGCCATTACAGAACTCTGCCACCTCATATCATCCCAATGCTACGTTATCCGCAGTTACTGCCACGCATGCCTCACCCTCTCATGCCTCCTCAGGCCTCTCCAGTGGGGGGCGTTAACATGAATCTCCCTCCCCCACCCTACCCACACCCCCACTCTCAACCCTCACCCCATTCTGGGGGGTTGAGCCAGCCTATGAACTACCCACCTCCTCCTTACTCTAATCACTCTAAAAGTCATATACTGACCACGCGGCTGAAACGACCGAGGAATATTCTGTCTGAAGAGGAGGCCAGGAAGAGGCTGCGTACGGACACTGCCATGGCAGTACTAGCACAACACATACAGAAAAGGCTGTTTGATTCAGAGCTGTTGCAATATGGTAAGAATTGATTTGAAATCGAGAAAAGAAAAGGGGATAGTTTTAAAGTACCCATTTTAGTATTTGTGGTGGTGTTTTGAAATTATAGTTTTAAGAAAGAGACTGGATGTAGATCAGACTTGAACAGCTACTGGCTTTCCAAACGTATGAAACTCTGTTATCAACCAGGTCAAGCCTATCCTCAGAAAAAAATTGGCAGTATAAGATAATTCTTCTAAATTTTATGTAATTTTCATTTGGTTGCAGATGTAGATACATCTGAAGATGAAGAAGACTTATTACCAAGACAAAACCATTGGCTGGGTCTGTCTTCAGACGAGGAGGCAGAGGAGTCTGTCAGCTCAGAAGAGTAAGTTTAAATGTAGTTGAAAGCAGTGATGCGTGTGGTGATGCATCTTGGTGAATGTGAAGCTGTAAGAGTGTCTAAACATGATTTTGTCATGAAACTTTGATATATATTTACAGGGATGAGATTTTTCCGACTTTTGGCAAATTTCCGATAGTTTGAGGCTCAAAAATATTAGTGGCCTGGGCAGCATACTGAACCCCGTACTGTTTTTCCAGGCTTTTTTCCTAAGTGGCAGTCTCGTCTCTCTCTCTCTCTTCTCCTCCTACTACTTCATTATATGCAAATCATATATCTCCTATTTTCCTATTTTCAGCGAGGACCTAGGCACGATGCGTCTGATCAAGCTATCCCAGCATACCTCTGACATCCGGCGCCAGTACGGCCAGCTGTGCAAGGCTCAACATTCCAACTCTGCCCTCCAGGACTACAGGAGGACGTTTGCTCAGGCTTTACTCCAGGCAGCCAGGGAGAGCCCTGCCGCCGCCGTCAAGGCGGTGCTGGAGGTAGATGGGAGGACGGAGAGGAGGAGAAGGAAGAGAAAGAAGAGAGTGAAAAGGTATATTGTTGGGGTTTATGATGTGGGGGTGGGGTGGGGTGGGGGGGGGGGCACTGAACTTGGTCAAGTGGATGGAGGGAGTAAGGAAGAAGAAGGGGAAGAAGTGAATGTGTAACCTGTTATCTTTGGTAAATAAAGTGTTGTGTCAGTAGAAAGACCTAGATGGCCAAAGGTACAAGTCAGGAGAGCAGTTAATTAAGAATTTATTGTCTTAACTTAGTATTATAATTTAGCCCACTACTTAAACCATTTGAATCAGTAAATGTGGGATCTTGGGTCAGTCCAACATGACGAGAAATGCGACTTACAAATACAGGTTTAAGAAGGACCGCACTACTGAAGTTTTGAACATTGATAACACGTGAGCCATCATGTACACAATAGTTCTGTCACAAGAGTTGTCTGAACGACCAATTTATCTTGCTTTTTAATCTTCTGTATTTGTAAAAGGGCATTCATTGTTAAGGTTCGGATTTTTGAATTTTCAGCGAGGTAGACAAGGGCCTCCAGAAGCGCAGCTGCCTGTACAAGAATGAAGACCGGAACGAACAGTGCAATAACACAGCATTGCCATATACCAATCATTGTATCAAACGTATCCTTACCCAAACACTGACACAACTTTGATACTGTTAGTAGAAGAGCGTTACCTAAAAATATTTAATATAAGACTAATATTAGAAGCAGTGTTTACAAAATATCAGATTTCTCATGATGTTCTTGGATTTAATATTACACAGAAATGTTTAAAAAGGATGCTTATGTATTAGTACTACAATGAATAATAGCACAGTGGTAGTGCAGTTTCAGTAATATTACAATCTATGGAGACTGTGTATCTATACACTGTGTGTATCTCTAGAGAATTGTGTGTTTCCTTAATCAGCCTCTCCAGATATAATGTATAATGTAGACCAGCAGTTGTTCGACTACTGTACGGCCAAAACAGCCGACAATACTCAGTGCTGCTTCCCGACCTTTGACATACGACACGACATGCCTCTCTGCATGCAACACGGGAAGAGCGCCGTAAGTTTGGTTTTTTCATCCTCCCTGTTGTTGTTAATGGATTTGACTGGGTCTGGTGAACAAGTTTAGATTGATGCATAAAGTAGACACAGAGTGAATTTGTTATGCAGTTATGCAGAAATCTGGGCGATAATAATAAAATGTTGCAAAGTTTCAGCTAGTTAAGGAAAAGAAAAAAAAGTCTTTTAGGCAAATTTAGCCCCAAGCAATCATTTATATAATATTTTTATATTGCAGGATAATTATGTCCCAGAGCCTGTGCCGGAAACTGAGCTTTTAAAAAGACCCAGGAAGAAGACCAAGCCCTCTGCACTCACCAGGAAAACCAAGAAGAAGAAAAAAGTACCCAATGTCCGCCCTGAAGAAGTCACAGCTCTGCAAGAGGAGTCAGATGGTGAGACATTTAGATTTAATCCAGGCTGTGTATAATAATTTTATCTTGTTGAATATATGAGTCTTAAAGTTATATAAAAATGAATGATGATAAACAAAGGGTTGTACTTTTTTCACAACAACGTGTCATATACTTAATAATGAGTTTAGCAAGTCTATGTCTCCTTGTATAAATTGGTAGGCAGTTGCCACTCAGGGTTTTCACCAGATTTAATGTTAGTGCGGTTTTGATACCCATCCATAAAAAAAGGGGGAGATAATTATGTCTTTGGGACAGGGAGAAAATAAGGTCTTTTCCTGTGAGAGCAACAACCCCCCCACCCCCACCCACGAAAATAATAATAGTAATTAATTAATTTGAAAAATAAATTATTACTATTAAAGAGGAAGAGAGAGACAAAGGGAAGAAGGGGAAGCATGTGATATCCTCTGTAAACAATATTTCACAACCTTTCACAATTCCTTCCAGACGGGCATGAACCAGGTAGCCCAGAACATCACCCGGAACTGGACCACTCGCGAGATCAGCTGCCTCCACAGAGATCAGGAGGGGGAACAAAACTGCCCTCTGGTGGTGGGGCACCGGCTCCTCTTGCTGCTGCAGCCAATGACATTAGTGATGACCTTCAGGGTGGCCTTGAAGCTGACCTTGAAGAAGTTTTATCACCAGGTATACAAGGTTTTAAATTGTTCAGATTTTTATTTTGTCACTTTTTAACTTTTAATTTATCTGAAAATGGGTACCAGTATAGGGAAGTTTTTAAAAAGTAAAGCTCTATGAAAATTAGTGTCATAATAATTTTAATATTTTGTGATATGCTATAAATCACTTTTCCTATTTTTACTAGGTGCAGTTGGCAAAAATCTCTGAAATTACTTGTCATTATTGACATTATCTCCTATTATTCCTATTTTTACTAGGTGCAATTGATAAGTCATTTGACCTCCCCCTGGACCAGGCCTCCAAGCTGTTAGATGACAATGACATCCACGAAGTCCTTAATAAGCTTCCAGATGACTTGGATCTTTTCTCAGGTATGACAACTACAGGGTCTCTCTCTCTCTATGCTGTGTGGAAACTGGTGTTAACAGTTGCATGATATATTGGCTGATTACTGTCTATTTTTAGATCTGATAATATTTTACCCTACTTGTGCAGATCCACAGTAAAAAGTAGGATTGAGGGGGTATAATTGTCCCATATTCTGAATGGGGCCTATGACAAAAAGTGAATGAAAAAAAATCCAACCACGACAAGAGAAAAATCTTCATAATATTATTTGAAAAAATTTATATTTCTTTGAAAATCTGTTACCTAGGTAAAAATGGTGAATTTGAACCAACAACGGAGGAACTAGAGAGGGCCTTGGCAGCTGCTTCTGGCTATTCCAAAGACTCCTTGGAAAATATGGAGAAAGACCTCCCAGAAATGACTGAGGAGGAATTAACTGACAGGATAACAGATACTATCCTCGAGACTGAAAACCTCAATGCTTCTTTTGGTGACTTGAGCAATGAAAATCTGAACCAGCTCGCCTCTTTGGCACATAGTATATCGGCCAATGAATTCAAAGCTATGGCGCAGACTGCAAGCTCCACTCCAGTGTTCACAAACAATAGCATGGTGTCAGAATCACAGACATACTCTCACAGGCCCCATGGCCAGGTGCATGCACAAGGCCAAGGTCAAATGTATCCAGGTCAAGGTCACTTTTCTCAGATACAGAGTGCATTGAGTAATGGGATCTATATGGGAGGTCAGGGACTGCCTCAGCAACAGCAACCACCACCACAACAGCAGCAGCAGCATCCAGGTTACATACAGAGACAATATTCACATCCTTCTCAGCAGATCTACCAGCCCGAGGGTCAGGTCATGGTGCCTCACAGGACCTCGCCGGGACATTTTGGCAACGGGCACGCCAACGTGTCGCCTCACGCTGTCAATGGGGCAGTTCTGGCCGGGGATCACATCCCGCCCTCTCCTCACCAGCACTCGCCTCTCAACCCGCGCTCCCCTATGCATGCGCAGTCGCCTCTTCCAGGACACATGCCAGTGCATGCACAGTCGCCCATGCAGTCGCCATTGCCCAGCGCGCGGCCCTGGTTTCCCCAGGGCCAAGAGCGACCCCTCACCCCAGGGACGCCAGTCAGTTACCATAATGGCTACCCGATGGGGACACCGCCATATTCCCAATCTGTGGGACCCTCACCACCGAGTCTGAAGTACACATATGCATCTAACCAGTTTCAGAACAGTGAGTTCATTCATCAAGAAGGGAGGTTCCCCCAGCATCTGAACATGACTGTGAACCCACAGTTGATTCAGAGGGGTTTTGAGGCCAACCAGGGGGGGTTCCACCCCCAGTGGCCTGGGCAGCATGGACAGTACCACCCCAGGGCAGGTCATGGCATGATGCACACACAGGGAGGCTCTTAACAATTAGTACGGGATTGGAAATTATCTGCCTAGAAAGCACTGGGGAAATTATGATATCTGGACAGTTATGGACAGTTCTATGTATTGTTTGGCACCCTTACAAGTATGATTCCTGCACTACAACTTAGAAATATTTGAGGAATGGAGGCCCTGGTAATCTGCATCGCCATGACAACTTATGTGATGGAGACACGCAAGTGTGGAAGACTGCAGGTTTTTAGGGGTGGGGTTTGGGTGGAGAGGGCGTTTGCTTGTTGAAAAGACTATCTGGAGAAATGACGGAACAGAGTGCACAATTTGTGGAGACTGATGTTTCATAGTGATGGGACTGAGCTTTTGTTTCTGCTTCTCTGCGCTGTGTAGCCACTGTTGATGTGATAAGCAAGTCCTGTGTTAGCTGATGATGATTATATGTAATGGTAGCTATGTCACAGAGCAATGCGGGTACATTGTTAGTCAGAACTAGTATGTGTGCTATACAGAGACTAGATAAAATTATATAGATATATAACACAAAATAAGTATGGTATTTTTTTTTTACCTAATGGAACTTGAAATATTTCAGGCTACAGACAGATTACTAGTCAACAGTTATCATGATGGGAATTAATCAAAATATTTAGATTATGTTCTCTAGTTAGACTTAGCCTCTGTGTACTTGTTTTGTTGGTTTGACTTCTGGTAGGAGTACATTGAGTGATGTGCACTTGTTCCTGTATTTTAGGTCACTGAATTTGGTGTTGTGCTGTTGTACCTGTGTGTGTGTGTAGGGTTTTAGTTGATATCAGTAGGTCCTTTTATGGAGTACAGCTTTTTTCCGTACTGGTTAGAACAGTTCAGTTATATGTAAAATCCTCCAGTTATATGGTAACATTCAAATTTTAAACCCTTTTTGTTTGAGCAGTATGCTTTTTTCCCACACCTCTTCCTGTTAGAAATTCTTTAATTTTTCCTGAAGAGGTTTCATATATTGTCACAAGTATCAGTTGAATATCAGAATGCCATACCACTAAGCGTATACTATATTCAGGAATTATTCCCTTTGATATTAGAATTTTTTGCATAACATACCTGTGACTTACTCAACTTATTGCCAAGTCCCTAAATTGCTTGCTTTCTAGAAACAAATTATTACTTTATAACTCCATTTAAGGACAGTGCTGCTCCTTACCTGCTGAGGGCAAAGCTCTGGCTTGTCTGCCCCTTTGGAGCCTCTAGTGAAAAGGGTTAATACGATCTCCAATTTTTGGCATGGTGGGGGTGGTTGATTTCAACTTTTTTCTTTCTTTCTTTTTAAAAAATTATTGGCGCTGTTTAAAACTAGAGGTGGGGACCTTTGCAAGGCTGTTAAAGCCCTTTTCCAGACAGAGGTACTTTAAGGGTCTCTCACAGTGAACTGGTCGATTTAAGTATACCCTTGGTTGGCAAGAGGGATTAAGACTAGCTGATGTCACTTGCGTGAGACCAGTTTGGGTCAGATAAATCGGGAAGAATTGTAGCATGTACATAGCAAATGCAGGGCAGCAGCATGCATGGGCATCTATGCTGTAAGTTGTGATACCATGGCTTTGTAGATAAATTTTGTTTGTTTTGAGAATTATTATAGCCGGTGAAAGTAGATTTATCTATAAATGATATTGAGTATTGATTGAGCGACTTGACTAATTCTGTATGAATATCAGGGTGGAAATACAGAGTGGGTTAGGCTCTTATCAGAATAAGGTTTTTTAAATATTAAATCATTCAGTTTTAAAATATGTGAAGAACCATGCATAAGTGATATATGTGTGGGCCCCTGTCAGGTTGTATTTTATTGTTTTAGTGAAAGTAGTGCTACTGTTACGTCAAATTTGAGAACTTTTTCTTATTGTAGACCAGTGCAAAATAAAATGTGCATAAGGTTAGAGGTTTTAACCTTTCTGAGCAAAAAATGTTAGGTTGATGAAATAATGGTCAAAATTGTCAGTAAAAGTAAATCTGTAACTCTTTTTTACAGTCTGAAATTGTAGAAAGAATATAATTTTACTGAAGTACAAATTTTCATAAAGATAACCTTTGCAAGGATACTCTGCTGTTAGTAATAGAAGTTACTATAATGGTAGTTTTTGTTTATCCAGACTTAGTTTTCTGTAAAATAACGGAAACTAACCACGTGTAAATCTGGAGATACCTATTAATCGTTCTAGGCAGCTGTCCTAGAATCAAATAATGTAAATATAAATATATGAAATAGCAAATGAAAAGGAGAAAAAAGTCCATTCGAAGGATGATAGATATTTTTATGTGGTGCTATTTATTGAATTTTGTACATGTAATAATATGCTTGTGTTCTAAACTTTTTTACTGGTATATGTACATTGTCCCGTCTATGTTATTTCACAAGGAACCATGATTAAATTCTATCAAGATTTGCTGAGTTTTTATGTTCTGCTTTTATTCAACCGATTCCATAGCAGAAAAAATGCAAAAAATATCCTTCCTGAAATTTATAATTTATTCCCACAAGAAAACAAATACATTTATATTTAACAATCCATTTAGAGTATTATCAATTCCAATGTGCTGTAAGCTGCTCAGATAGTACACAGTTCAAGAGAATACTGGAAAATATCCTGTAAGTGTAGAATATGCAGGTTATAATACAGGATAGTTCCTAGTAATTGCTATAACTTTTGGTGCATAAATAGTGGTTTACAAATAAAATGTTTATTTACTGCACATATATGCGTAGCACTAACAGAAATTGCAGAAAATGTTAAAAACATACAAAAAACTATAATTGTAATTTAAGTCTTTTTTTTTATACTACGAATTTTTCTGAACCTATATCAAATGGCTACAATTGTCAACAAGACGACGTAGATTGCCACATTGTGGATACAAAGCCAGAATATGTAATTCCATTTAATAGTGCACAAAATAGTACATGAAAGTTACCATGATAAATGAAAGCATAAAAGGATTTGTCCCTAAACTGGAGTTTCAGCAATCAGACTGAGAGTAGTAGATAACTCCTTGTTAAACTACAACATTATTGGAAAAAACTTCAGAGATGACATTATTTGTTGAACTGTTAATGACCAAAATAGGGGTCCATCTTCCCTTCAACTGCAAAATATGGCACAGAAAGTTAAAAGATGTGAAGAAAATATACAAAAGGGAAATATGCATCCTCAAAGATTATCCCAGACATCCACCCTGAACTTGTTTCTTGAATGCCACATGTTATGCATGTTATGTTATGCATGTGGCATTCAAGAAACAAGCACACAGGATTTACAAACAATACAGTGTGGAAAACATGCCAACAAAACATAGGCCTTTTTACCAATATAAAATATTTAATAAATAAATTAATAACCATTATGTTAAGAAACATACTTGTTAATCTAGCATATCAAAGATGTTATTTAAACTCCAAAACTTACATCTGGTAAATTTTATACTAAAATTCACAAGAATCCCTCCTAGGACAACCTGTAAATTACACAAATAATACATACACTAAAAACAAAATCAGACTTAAGATATGGAATTGAAAAATGTATAAACATGAGATACACATAAGGAAATGATAAAAAATATGCTGCCAGCACCAGTACAATTTGTGAGGATAATTCCACCAGAATCTCTGTTCAGGAGATTTGACTAGAACATTTAACCAACCCTCTCTCTCTCTCTCTCTCTCTCTCTCATTTTTTTGACAAAAATTGTATATAATTTTGAGTTCAACTTTAACATAATTTGATTATTGTCATAACAAAAACCGAAGGCTTCCTAACCAACATACTTCCTTACTAACTTCCTAACTTCAGTTGTAATCGCCTGTATTCTATATTTGGGATAACGTATGAAATAAGATGGTGAATAGTCCCTGTAAAGTAGTACAAATGGTAGGCCAACTGGGGAACCACTGGGTCAGGTGACACAGCTTAACTGGGTCATCGCTGGGTCAGAGGTCAATGGAAAATCCTGGACAAACTGCCATATGACTGTCACCAACCATCCTCACTTAAAGCTCTGAAATGATAATAGAAAACAGCATCCTTGATTAACTTGATCACAGTAACTTATTTATTTATCTATTTTTTCAAAATCTGCTTATGTGACATCATTCTACAAACACAATGATACTACTTTATTTCAGGCCTATAGGCAGGAGGGGGGGGGGGGGGTTTAGGGCTTTGAAGGAAAAGGAAAGCCAAAAGGTTAGGAAAAGACCACTCTCAATCAAAATTAATTTCCATTTCTCAACCTTGGTCAACTGCATGGGCAAAAAGAAAAAAAAAAGGATTCAGTTTTTTTTTTAGAAATAAAGACCCCTCCTTTGAAATTGCTGGCTACAGGTCTGATATTCCAACCATCACTAATTACCCAACTTTCACCTGTCACTCTACATGTAAATGATACCATGTATCACCCCTGTGTGAATGGCAAGGGAAATTCATGAAAGTCAAGTAAAACATTCAGAAATGAAAGCAAAGAGGAAGTGCAGAACAACCGAACGTGACACAAATCATCAAGAGTTACCAGTAAACATTTCAAACCAAGGAAAAGACATCTACTTCCTTGACCAAATAAATATAAGGCCTATTCCCAATAAAACTTTTGTTCTTTCCCACCCCATGGAGATTCTCGTTGATTGCAATCAGATAAACTGACCAACAGGCCTCCTCCTAGCATTGAGTAGAATACAAAAGCTGGTGATTATACAAGAGCACTGTAAACAAGAGGTGTGTTAATCTGTTGATATGACTGCATTCAGCAAGAGTCCCCATCAATCTTTGTAAAATGATAGTTTCAATGAGAATGGACCAACAGGCTTTGCCTTTCTTGTAAAGCCATGGGTCAAGCAGATGGTCTCTGTGCAATGCATTGGCTAGTATATGGTACTAAAGTGCTTTATAAGCTGCATTCAGATTCAACCGGACTAGCTGGATCTATCCAATTCTTCTGGGGATTCTCACTAAATTGCATTTAGTGTAATCAACTTAATTGTCTGACATGCCTCCTGGAACAGTAAGGTGGTAATTAACTTTGGTGTGGGCTATCCTCTAGCAGCTTGAGGAGGCCTGTCAGATATTTAAACTGATTACAGTGATTGCACTTAGGGAGAATCTCATGAAGAGTTAATTCGATCCAGCTAGTCTGATGGGTTTATCTGAACGCTCCGATAGAGTAAGCGTGCTGTACCTTGAAAAGTTCCTAGTTAATTTCTTGTTAAGTGGCACCCTGCCCAAGGAAGCTGTGGAGTGGCCTAGAAAAAGCACATGCTTGCACAGTAACACACATCACAGGAAGAAACAAACACATTTAGATACAAGGCTCAATACGAAGCTAGGACCCTACACACTTGTGTGTTGGGTCCTATGATAAAGCAACATTTTTGCCATTTTATAACCCAGAAAAGAAATTGTAGTAAAATATGTGAGAGATTGCAAACTTTTTTTTTTGTCTTACGTAAGAACCCCAAATTCTTCATAAAGTCTGGTCATTTTAGGACATTTAAGCAGATCTATATATTCTTTATATATTTTTTTAAATTTCACATTGAACCAAAACATATACACTGAAAAGAAGAGCATTGAAATACTGGAGAGTGATGTAGGAGATACACCACATTAAATTACATGCACATACAAGCAGTGTTATGAAAATGACAAAGTATTATAAGTATGATAACTTGAAGGACTGACAAAATACAATAAAAGATTGAACATCACCAAAACCAAATTTAAGAATGATAAATTAATGTATATCATGTAGTATTATTCTACTGGATTGCTTTGAAATTCGTTACTCAACCATTTTCTTTACATTTGGCTAACAGCACTTGTATCTACCACAGTATTGTTTTCACAAATTTCCCTTTCATTTTCACCACCCTAACCATTATTTTCCCATTCTCCAGAGACCAAACCAGTACCTGTCCATAGCTGCTCTCTAACAGACACCCTTCTAACTGTTCTACAAATTACAGAAATTGTTATAATTTATTCATATTTATAATGAATTATATATAATTTATTATTTTGTAACTGCTAGATCTGTCACAGCTAGAAAGACATGTAGTAGAGAACAATCACCAATAGAAGAAAACCATCCCAATCAGCTACTTGAGAGACTTTTTTTTCAAGATTTTCTGCGTGTTGTTTACCATGATAATATCCTACACGTACAGGCCCTGAATATCAGAGGAGCTTTATCATATTTTTCCTACCACAGCACAGTCAAAACTTGGTGGGAAAGCGTTCCTGTTATACCCACGTACATGTACTTCTATTATACAGGGCATTCTCACTTGTACTGCCACCCCAGCATCTTAATTCTAAACCTTGGACCCACTCTGGCTAAACCTAAAAATCCCAACCACATCCACAGGTAGATAGAGCAGTATGTTTCCATTACCTTGTCCTTTGGAATCCTGATTAGTTTCAGAGTTTGCTAGAAACAATAACCTTCATTATCAGTGTGCCTTGCTGCTTTGTCACCAGAAATGACAACTCCAGACATGCTGACAATAAAGGTTGTATAATTTTCGCTAAACTCTGAACTTTGGGTGACCAAAATCCACAATCCCAATACATTTAAGACTAGATGAATCAGATTATAAATTAACTCCCTTCTCTTTCTTTAATTCTTTCTTTTTGATTTCCTTTCTTAACCCTAAGCATGGTAGAAAAGAAGGTTCCAAGTACCCCTGATGTACCAACACCATAGTTTAGTATATACCTGTGAGTAAACTGAACAAGCTGGGCAACATAATACATGTGACCTACAGTTCAGAGAAAGCCAGCATGGCGTTAATATCACAGTAAGCACCCATTATCAACTAACAATAAAATCTCTTTTAAAATGCAGTGCAATATACTATGGAATATTTAGAATGCCAAATTTAATATATCTTAATACCTGCTGGTGCCTAAAAGACTAGATGTTATTTCAGCTCTTGTGAGTCATCGTAGTTAAAACAAGATGGAGCTTTGTGACGCTTGACAGTGATCCTTTAAAAAATGAACAGCAACAAAAATAGTCATATTGTGCTTTAATTTTCTGACGGATCTGACTGATGAGCTCAATGGGTAAAAGACTGTCTATTGCAAATGTAAAATGATAAAAAATGCAAAAAATATTTGTATTCATTGGACTAAGGCTTCATTCACATGGAAAGTCTATTTTCTAAATTCTATTTTCTATTCGCGGTATGTTTAGTGATCACGGTCTGTGCCCTGAATATCCCACGGCGTAATTACTGGCAGCGCGAGCCAGTTACTAATACAAAGCTGTAATTAACTCTTATGCTTGGAGGAGATTCTGATACCTTGACGCATGCGCAGTAGTATCTCTAAGCTGTGGAGTTCATCGGATTAGGTGTGACGACTCAAACATACAGACTCGAAATATGCACAAAATCGACAAACACATTTTTCAAAGCAATCGCAGTCGCCATTAACTTGCTAAATTCCTACTGCGCATGCGTAAAGGTATCAGAATCTCCTCCGAGCACAGCTAAGAGTTAATTACAGCTTTGTATTAGTAACTGGCACGCGCTGCCAGTAATTACGCCGTGGGATATTCAGGGCACAGACCGTGATCACTAAACATACCGCGAATAGAAAATAGAATTTAGAAAATAGACTCTCCATGTGAATGAAGCCTTACATGTACACCTTGAATGCATGATTTACAACACAACAAGTGACAGAGGGAAAGGCATGCCACCAACTACAGAAAAGAACAGCCATGCACAAATATTAAGACATGCATCACAACAAATGTAACCATTAATAAGTAACTTAAATATTCTTTGTCTCACATTCCAACATGACAAGTGTAATATAAGCATATTCGTGATATTGTGATCTACACGAAAGCTGTCTGTGATGTCAAATACATTACAATTTTCATGCCAAAAAAAAAAAAAAAAAAAAAACCTGTGAGTTTCTGCAATATACAGTTATTATATATCCTTTATATTTTACCTTAATTTTGATCAGTTTCAATCAAAAGTGATGTCTCTGTAGTTATTCCTTTAATATAATTGACACATCTGGTAAGCATGAAAAATGTCCCAAATTTTAAACTGTTTCAGTGCTTAATTTGGACAAATTCTCAGAAATAAAACAAAGCAACCTATGGTCCAAATGCAACTGTATCGCTTGTATTTTTAAGATTTACATTTAAATTAAAAAAAAAAAAATTCTCTAAAATCTTCCCATCAAGCAAAGGCCCCTCAAATCCTTTCATACAGATATAATAGCTTAAGATTAATCTTTGTGTTACTGGAATCTGTAAGTCTCGGGAAAAAAAATCACCTTAGTTTTAAATTTCACATTTTTGTTTCAATCCACTATCTGAATAAAATCACATATAAAGAAAAAACAATAAAAATAAATAAATAACTCCTACTTACGTCTATTTCCCTGTACGCCGCCTGGCGCTGGCTGTTTGAGCATGGTGCTGTAGACATTAACTGCCACTACCAGACAGCAGAGCAGGATAGGGCCTATGATAGCACCCTCCAGACCAAAACAATACATCCCTCCTGCTATGGCTAGACCCGTCAGATAGGGGTGACCTCCACTGGAATGGAAATAAATAAATAAATAAACATACCAAAAAAGAATACACAATTATAAAAGAAAAAAAGATTTTACCATAAAGGAAGTCTTGAATACTTGACTACATTGAAAGGCATCCAATGCATGACCCTTCTATGATAATTTCAAAATTTTCCTGTAAATCATATAAAAAACCATTGACAAAATCATGATCTATGACCCTGTTTAAAACTAAAGAGAGTTAATTTTCTTTTTATTTTGGTATTAAAGTTATTGTTACGATAATGATTCACCTCCCTATCCATCAACATCCAATCAAAAAACAAACCAGGTCATAAGTACTTGCCCTAAAATGAAGGAAGATCCAACTAACATTTCCCTGTAACCCATATATACTCTCTTACCCTTTAATATCACTATATATGGCAGTATCTACAAACATGGTGGGTAACAGCTGACAGACGAAGAGCGTGACGGCCATGATGAGCTCTCCCTGGACCAGCCACAGCTCTATGACTGCAGGCAGGGCTGCCCAGTATGTACCCAGGAAAGGTATAGCACCAAATATGGCGGCCAGGGCTGGAACAGCCAAACCAGTTACTTTTTATAATAATAATAATAATAATACAGTTCTTTAATACTGTGCTCTTTAATTGTTTCAGTACTTGTAATATTTTATTGTAAACCATGTCACTTGAATTTTGGAAAAAAAAAATTAAGCTTTTTAATCTTAAAAAAAATTACATCACATTTTGGATGGTTCTCCGTCAAGCTAAACTTTTGTCAACAGTATTCAAATACTATCCATTTCATAAAAAAAAAATTAAAGCAGCTGGTGTTGTTAAATTGCCAACACTACCTGATGGAATAAAGACGATATTTATCCCAAACACAGTATGAGTAAGCCAAGTATACAGCCCATAGAATGTTGCCATCTTCATGGAAGCCTTGAATACACCACTGAAAGAAAAACACAAAGTATCTTTTTAACAACAGTGTCTGTTAGGATATTATGTGGCAAGTAGGTTGGCCATATTTGATCTGTAGATCTGTTAGTCCACGCATCAACTGGTTGTGAATACTTCCTTAGAATGCAGTTTGGATCACAAGAAGTCCCATGTGACTATATCTCACCTAATTCCCTCCTCTACAGCCTCCCCCAGTTTACTGGTGCTGTCCGAGGCTGTTGGACTTATACTGACCAGCCAGTCTATTGGCTTGTAGTGCTCCCCGCTGGACGACAGCAGGTAGAACAACGTGGTCAAGAATACCACCTGGAAGTGGACAGAAAGAGTATGACTGACAGACAGACAGACAGATAAATTTAAGTTATGATTAAAATTCCTTTATAGTCCTGTGAATATAAAATTTACATTAGATCTAAATATATACATCTATAGTTATTATTTCAGATTTCTGTTGCTCCAAAAAAATCAAACAATTGCATTTAAACCCACCATTTTGCATACTACAGGGGAAGGTTTAAGATGATTAAGAACCTGTCAGGAAGTTGCACCCACTTACTATACCTCTTGGATGCAGGCAGTTACATTAATATAACTTTGTAAAACTTAGTATAATACACTCTTTGTGCTAAATATAATTTACAAACATGTCACCTCCTCTTTCTTTATTTTCTTTCTTTATTATTTCAAACCTACAGCAGACAGCACAAAGTTAAGCAGAGCTGTTCCTCCCCCAAACAGCAGTGAGATGGTGGTCCACAGGACACTCAGGGCAAGATTCATGTTCCCCTTGATGAAGATCCACAGAGATTCTAACACCTGGAATCAGTTTATATTGTATGTTCATGTATAAAATACTAGACATTATTATTATTATTATTATTGACTTTTAGTCAAAGAAATCAAACATGTTTTGGAGGTCAAATTTACAATGAAAAATCCAGTTGCATTTGTTGAAGATCAGTTAATGTTACATTAATTCACAGGAAACCAGTCTTTCCTAAGAGTACAATGATAGTATACTGAATTTTTTTTTACTGAAGTACACACTAGTCACAAACAGACACACACACACAAGACTCACGGATTTGAGAGTTCCAATATTGTCCTGCACAAAGCTGACAACTCCAGAGAAATCTGTGTTTTTCATGACAGACCACGCACTGGTGAGGTTTGTCATGGACAGGTCAGAAAATGAAGGACTCCTTGTTAAGGTGCCTGTCTTCCTCACTGCTGTGGTGTTCTGCAACAGGTGTATATTGATTATTAAATTGCTGTTGTAAATGAACTATTTGATTGAAAGTTCAAATTAACAAATCAATTTAAATCTTTTCTTTTGACACAAAATGAAGTATAAAATCAACATTTGCTGATCATAAAATATGTCTAGAGAACAAATTAAAGTAATTATCATGATGGTTATTTTAAAATGTATGAGTCAAAGTGAACTGTTATCATGTTCTTTAACACAACTGAATCCTAACAACATGTACTCTTTTCTGAAAAAAATTGTAAAGACAGATCAGTTTTCTTAAATTTTTCTCATAGAAAAGTAGCGATATATGGCTATAAAGTAATGTGTCCTCCCACCTTGGTAGAAAACCAGGACTCATACAGTCTGTCATATAGAGCCAGAGCCTGGGCCTCCACATGGGTCTTATTGGCATTCTCCCCAGCTATATAATTTACCTGGAATACATTGGCCACACATTAGGATTCATCACAGATCTGTATGCAAGTATGACACTACACTTGCTTCTGGTTCATTTTTGCAATAAAATATTTATAGAATTGTACTCAAAAGCAATGATCTATTGTTTAACATGCAATCAACAACAAAACAGCACCTGCAATGGATATACGTGTAGAAAATGCATTAATGCACAAAGTTTAAAATCTTTTATTCAACATTAAAAATCCAATCAAGCCCTTAAAACTAATTGCTATTTTAATTTACAATGACACAACACCCTCCCATACACATACCTGTGTGGATATCCACTGCCTTTTATACACATACCTGTGTGGATATCCACTGCCTTCCATACACATAGGCATTGCCAACCATGGAGTCCATTGCCATCTGTACTTGTTCACTCTCTGGAAGCCAACTGGAGTGAAAATAGTAGAATAAATATTAGTTTTCTGCATAAAGCCAGGTGATTATGCCAGGAGTAGCATATTATTATTAATAAGTCAATCTTCTGACTCATCAAACTGACCACCAAACTGATGGCCAACTTGGAAAATGAGTACTGACTACTCATTATCATTTTCGTAATTGATGACATCTGCATAATAAACTACAAAAAGTGATGTTTTGCCAATTTTGCCTAAATAAATCAAACAGTTCTATTGTCAAAAATTAACCTTTTTACTTATCTTGAAGTACTGTAAATTAAAATACTTTCTGATTTCAAATGACTGAAGATTAGGGCTTTTGAGATGCAGGACAAATTATTTCAACGCCAAGATGCAGCGCAAATTATTTCAGCAATGTTTTTATAATTTTTTTTCCGCTTCTGCAAACTTCTTTGAGCCTTAAATAACACATGAACTCTTAAGACTACTTACTGTTTGAACTCAGGATGGAGGGAGTTGTTGAGGACATCACTGGTTACTTTGACAAGATGCATACTTTCCTGATGAACCTAAAATTGAAAATCAAAATATAACCAGATTACAGAATGGCCGCAAAGACATATGTCAGTGTTAGCATAATAAGTGTGTAGACGCCCTATATGTTCCCTCCCTTATCTCCCCCCCCCCCCTTTTGTACTTACAATTTTTAGTAGTTCCTTACCTTGCATTTACAATGAATGTGGACTGCAAGAAGTGGAGTGAAAGCAGGAAATACAACGTTTCTACTGAACCTATTGTCTTAAAAGATTTTTAAAAAGTTGTGTTTTTCCCTGACAGATGTCTGCACTCTAGCTCTACTCTCTAGGTTCTACTAAATAAAGTGTGAACCAGTATTAAGTGACAAAAATCCTGATACCTGTACGGCCATAAAAATAGTAAACAGCACAGTGCCTATGAGCACACCAAGGATAACCATAGTACTCATGATGGCATCCATGGACGACTCCAGCCCTGAGGTAATCTAAAACAATTATAATAATAAAGAATGAACTTCTGCCTGGTCACAATTTTTTAACTCTGCAACAATCTGTGCCTTAATGTCTTACCTACTGCTCACTTGGAGCAGCAGACCCCAATTATATGGCTTTGAATAAGTAGACTGAGTAGACTCATTCTGAAGATGAAAACTAAAAACTAGTAAAGAAAAAAATAATAAATCTAAAACAATCCCTAAAATTCACACTATTTTATGTGAATAGACTTGTATTTTTTAAACATCAAATGCTTTACCTGTGGCTGTCATTCAGATGAAATATAAATTTAAACAGGTTATCACAAATTCTCCTTTATACACAAATAAGCATCAAAGCTTATCATGAAGCGTGCTGCCACCTGTCATTCTGACCCCATACCTTGCGGTCTCCTCTGATGGCCAGTTTGGTCAGACCTTGTATGGGTACAGGGACCAGTGCGTCTTTGCGGTCATCCACCCATGCAGTGGTCTTGCTTTGAACTTCTGTTAATTTTTCCTTGAATCCGTCATTGCTGAGTGCAATTTTGACTAGTAAAATAAAATGTACTTGAAATCATGTAATAATAATAATAATAATAATAATAATCATCATCATCATCATCATCATCATCATCATCAGTGATGGACAGCAAAAGTATAGGCAGTATGCTTTATTTGACTCTGAAAAGATTTGCCATTGTAGAGGCTATACTACTGCAGTGCATATACATGTATCATAAATTACTGAGATGTTGATTCAAACAGAAAAACTTATTCATGCAAGTAATTACCCACATATTTTGGTATTCATAAAAAAAAAAAGGGGGGGGGGGAACCCAACTTTTAACTGATACAGGGTACCTCTTATTCTATCCAAGGTTATTTAGAATACAAGCAACACAAAACCAAAAAAGTGAATCAAAATTAGCAAACATTCTCCCCCTTGCTTACCAAGCGTCTTAATAATCCAAACAGCCAGTAGGACAGGTAACAGCTGGACCAGCCAGAAATGCCTCCAAATATGAACCAGCCCCAGAGCCCACAATAGCCAGATAAAACAGTGGTCACTCAATGAGCGCTTCTTCCTGGCTGGTGCCTTCTTTGGCTTTGATTGTGAGGAGTCTGGTCCTTGACCTTCAGTCTGACTTTGACCTTTTGACTGACCTTGGCCATCAGTGTTCAAGTTCAAGGTCTTTGGTTTTCGGGCTTCTTCCATTGGCAAACCAACCTCGGCTCCCGGAGGTCTGTTTGGCTGAACATTGGCATTTTCCTCGTCAGAATGATGGCTCTCCTGCAATGAGTCAGACTGGCTGGTATCAAAGGAGGCGATAGAGGAATTTGTCCTAGACTCCATTCTGTTTCTTCCGGAGATAACTCGCCACAAGGCTTCTTTTAATTTCTCAGTTGGAGAAACATCAGGCAAGTCTTGCTCTGAAAAGAGTAATTATACTTTTTTTGGCATACATGTGTACTATATTATCATTTAACATTCTTTAATCTATTTGCTTTGTTTTAAATTCATGCTTTACTGGTGAATTAAACAAATTAATGCACAAAATATGACACCAATTATATCACCAAAAAATAAATAATCTATACAAAATGCACAGTAGAAAAGAAAAACCATCAAGAACCTTAATTTTAACTTCACAAACATCAATGACAAAATTTCATGAATCGATAAATTTACTCTTAAAATTATTAACACATATTATTTGTACTCTGTAAAATAAAGAGTGTACCTTCACCATTTTTTCTCTTCTTAAGCTTTGCCTCCTTGATTTCTGCCCCGAGTCCCACACTCATGGCGGTGACCACCATGACCACTATGGGGATCCTCAGGGCGCCAGCATTGGTGGCCAGGTGGAACAGTATCGCGATCCATATAGGTACAGAGAGATAGCGGAGCACAGAACTGGACTGCTTGTTCCAGTAGAACACTACAGCTAGGAAATAAGCTATCACAAATGTCCAGA